AAAAAGAAAAGAAAAAGAAAAGAAAAAGAAAAGAAAAGAGGTATTTCTATTTAAATGGAATTTCCAGTGTTTCAAATTCAGGAGGCCCACTATGCCTTATGTTGGACATCCCTGAGTCTAGATCTGTGTTCTTTATTTCCTCTCCCCTCAAGTATTTGTACATACTGGTAAGATTCCTCTGAGCTTTCTCTTTTCCAGACTGAGCAACCCCAGCTGTCTCAGCCTCTCCTTGCATAATATATATATTCTCCAAGTCTTTGACCATCATCACTGCCCTGCGCTAGCCTTGCTCCAACACGTCACTGTCTCTTGCCCCTGAGGCCACACCTGCACACAGCATCCTAAACATGGTCCCACTAGTGCTGAGCAGGTCACTTCCCTTGACCTGATGGTTGGGCCTTCCTTTATCTGCTTGTTTATACAGCATCAGGCCTTTCTCAGTTTACAAGGGCTAGGCTGAGGCTTATCAGTTTTTAATTCTAGAATACTGGCAGTGTCCATTCATAACACTTAGTATCCTGAATTCTCTACCCCAGTTTCACTTCAGTGAGAGGAAAGACACTTGGGGATTCATCCTCCTAAGGTACTTTTCTGCATAAAGTCAAGGCAGACACAGGACCTGTGAATATAATTACTGTAGCAATTCAATGACATTGAATAATGGTATCATGAAAAAAAGAGTGTTTCCAAGATACTAGGGTCGGAAAATTCAATCCAATCTTAGAAAACTCTTCCAGAGACAGAATGAGGACTAGAAAAGAGACAGTTAACTGCAGAAGTATTAACTTAAATTGCATGTGCTGTTGAGGAGAAGGCTTGGGCTTTGTGTTAAAAAAGCCAATGTAAATGGGACATGTCCACACTTCATCTAGAACACTCTTACGCGAGTGAGTGTTAAAAGAAAATAAAGTTCCCATCACTTCTCAAATCAGTAAGAACTCTCTTGGTAATAAGTGAAATCTACAGATTTTAGAAATTGGAAAGATGCCAAGAGAGGTAGCATTGTTAGAGCGGTCACATCATCAGGGCAATGGAGGTCTAGGTGTGCAAATGACATGACTGTGTAGGAAGAGCTCTTCTATTTATTCAACTTACATTTCAAAAAGTTCATGTACTCAATTTTCACTTTTAAGTTTTTTGAAAAACAAAATTAGTTTTTTGTAAAAGTAAACAATTTCTCATACTAGCAATTTAAATTAAGTTCCATTATTTCTGGCCAGTCTGTAAAGTATGTAAAGTTCTCTTCTGTTGAACTGAAGGAAAATCACTTGACATTCTTTGCATAACAGTTAAAGAGAAGTAAGTATTTTAGCACGAAGCATAAAACTAAATGCTTATTTGCAAATATTTTAGAATAAATACTGAGGGTTTGCTCTCTTCTGGCCTTCTACACATAATGAAATATTACAGTGCTTATCACAGCAATCTATTACATACATGCATGTTCAAGCTCTTAATGTTTCTCCACCAAATCCCACGGGCAAAGGTTAGGCAGACTCCCTATTCCTTATTTAAGCCATTATTCTCAGGTTGTGTATGCAAAGAAGTAACAGCTGTCAAACATACAAAGGCTAAGCATGACCTACTCATGGGCAGGCCAGAGTAAAACTCAAGAGACAAAGTTTACACCCTTCACCAAAATCAAGAAGTTGAAGTATATGGTCCAAGTTCAGAATCAAACCTGAATTTCTAGTCACTAATTATGGCTCAGGTATCCAGAATTGTGATCTGTGGGTACCTTAAATTCTGACAGAAAAGGAATACTGTGTCTTTTGCACAGGTATTATCGAAGATAATTTCTCAGAATTTTTACTTTTTTATGCTTCCTTTATTGTTAATGCCTGTTTGTGCTCTAATTTACAGATGGATAGTTCAAAAAAAGTTTTTATATTTCTCTCCAAATTTGTGTCAAGAAAGAATACATTCAATAAATACTTTTCATAAAAGTCATTAATCTGATCACATTAGCACCTCTTGGAATGTTACAGCTTTTTCTTTCCTTGAATTTTAGCTAGATATAGATATATAGCACCAAAATTGGAAAAAAATATAGTGTACTAGAATTTGATATTAACTGTATCTAAAAATCAGAGAGCATAAATCTGAATGAAATTACTGCAAAAATATTCTGCTTCAGCTTAATTCTTCTCACATTTTTTTCCAGAGTATGAATTTAGCTTGTATTTGCTCTTACCAAAGTTCATAATGGCCCTTTTTTCCATCTCACAACATAAATCTTATACATTTCCTGGTTAGCTTTTTCTTTCCTTGCAAAGAACCTTAGCTTTGAGTTTAGAGCACTTTAAATATATGGAATTCTATTTTTTTGAAAACTTGACTTTAAAAGTTTGTGTTATATTTTCCAAAAACATTGAGTTGTCTAAGGGATTTTGTCAAGAATAGCTGAAACAAGAAGGATATACAGAGATACCCTGGTTAATAATAAATATTATATTCTTTTGAAGCTGGATCATCCAAATTCAAGTACAATTTATAGGCTTTGCCAAAAAAATATTAAGATATCACACTGTAATTGCTAGTTAAAAAGAAAATCACAAGAAATAACTGAGGAGAAAGTTTGAATCTTAGTGGCAGAGAAGTGTCATGCACTTCAGAATTCTGGATGCCTTTCTCTCCTGCAAGGGCATTTTGAGGTTTTTCAAAGCATTGACCTAAGTCTCTTAAAGATAACGACAGGGTGGTCAATTTACTGGGAGCCATGAAAGTATGCATGTTTCTTTTGTGATATAGAAAGGGAAAATCTATAGATGAAAGATAATAAATGATTCAATAGCATTTTAAATCCATTTTTCTACAACTGTTTTCATGGTATAGCAAAGATGCAAGGAGAAGCAGACATACCTTGTTACTTAATACCTTGTTCCTTGATACTTAAGCTACAATCCCAGCTGCAGATAGGCAGTATGTTTTCAAAGTAAACATTCACTGATTTGCCAATCACTACCTTTTTCATCACAACCAGTATGTCCTAACATCATAAAACAACTTGAATGAATTTCACCTGCCTTCCGTCTCTCTAATTCTACCTGTCCCCTGGTAGCATGGCTATTAGAGAATTTGTAAAAGCACATTAAAGTAACAGCTCCACATGTAGTTTTATCTAGAAAGATTCTCCTATTAAAACTGTCTAGATATTAATACATAACTAATTATCAACAAGCATTTAAACAGTGCTTCACAAAGCAAGCTACACAACCACACGTAAGAGCTATCTGACCATACAGCACAATGCTGCAGTAACACAATCCTCAATGCAATTCAACTTAATAATATTAAATAAACTATTGAGGGCTTGGGTCTTTGGTGGGGTGTTGGTTTCTTAGTTTATAAAAAGTTACTAAGATATATACAATAACTTTGTGGTTTAACAAGAGTTTAATTCCTCAGTAAACAGGAATTGAACCCTCGGGACTGTGGCTTTTGAAATTAGGGTGTGTTTAGGTTTGGAGACTGCCCAAATTTCATTCACATTTAAGAAGGGAAAGCACTATGCCAGACACATGCAATCAGAAAAAATGATTACATTCTGAAGGAAGGCTGTAAAACAAATGCTCCCATATGTTCCATACACATCAAATAGAAAGACTGAGGACTACTACAGTGGTATTTAAATATACAGCAAAAAAAAAAATCTCAATCCAATAAAATAAACCCAAAGAGCTAAAAATTAAGTTAATGGCTACAAAGTAAACGAATGCTGCAAAGTTATTCCCATTTAGAACACAGGATGAGATTGAGAAATAAGGGAGGAATCAAACATGCCAGGCTCTCTGGTACCACCCATTGCTTACAACTGTTATTGAACAATATTGTTATAATTAATGAAGCTAGCAAGGGAAGAAAATGCAAGGTCTGAAGTGTTTTGACAAAAGGCTGAAAGGAAAAAAAGAGAACAAAAGTCAACTAGAAAGAAAGTGTCTTTCAAGACACAGTTTAATCAAAAAGAAGATCCAGGATTAAAATTCAGGTTCCCTTATAAAACCCTCTCCAAGTAAACTGAGGGCTCTTCTTGTTCTCTGTTTGGTTTTTGGTTGGGTTTTTTTGTTGTGGTTTTGGGGTTTTTTTCTGTCTTGTGCCCAAGCAAATATAATAAAGTTTGACTGGTCTGTTTTCTACTCAAAGCAAAGAAATACATTAGACATTCGAAAAATTTGAGTCTTTCCTAAGATTAACGTATGGTATTTTCCTTAATCAGGAAATTTCCTAGACATTTTCTGTAATAAGTGAAGGTAATTATAAAATTAACACAATGACATTTGGCTACTTCAATGAACTGCAATTTTGCAAATAATCCATTATATTTGGATTCTGAAGTATATTAGAGACGACATTAAGTAAACATTTGAAAAGTATTAGTACATTATCAACATAAGAGGAATATTTTTTCAAACTGAAATTAAAAAAAAATATTGTTCACTATAAGAGAGGGAAGTATGCAAAAACTGATTGTGACTGCAGTATCTATTCCATACTTTCCACAAGAAAATCTCTCACATTCAAACATATGTAACATATAAAATTAATTCGAATTTTTTGCATGCTAAAACTGTATGGCATGGGATATATCTGTACTGTATAAGGAAGCAGATTAAAAATAAATTAAAATAAAATACCATAGGCCCAAACAGAAATGCTGTAGAGAAAAGAAGACAAGTCTTCATAGAGATTTGGAGGGTTGTTAGAATAGTTTTTTTCTTTTGACCTTCCCAAGCAGTGATGGGTAACCTAGTTCTTCAGGGATGAATAGTAAAAGCCCTTTATAGCTCATGTCAGACTTCTGGTTTTTTTCTGTTTTGTTTAGCTCCTCAGTTTTTTCTGTAAAGTGGACTAGAGTTACTATCTCTCTTTCTGCACCTCGAAGTGGATTATTCAGAGGGACTTCATAAACCATCAAATCATTCCAAAGCAGGTGACTAAAAGCTAAAGTGTGAAAACCAAATATCTGAAAGGTGTAAAATTAATGAACATTATCAAAACTGCATGAGGGAAGTTAAGGATCCAGTACAACAGCACACATTGGCCTTCAATGCTATTCTGTGGCTCACGGCTTTAGGTCTCATATTTCCAGGTTCTTTGGGGGGCAAAGAGAAAGCCTCCTCACTCTTTCCAGAGATGTCTAGCCAGACCTCCACATGTCCAGGGAATGCACCCACAGAAAGGGGTGATGTTCACTGGCCTCAGCTGAAGGCAGAAACACGCTCCTAAGAGACGTGATTTTGAATTTTTTTTTATGTGACAGGCTTTGTCAAGTTTTAGAACGTGCCTGAGCATATTCTGAATCTTTGATTTTACATACCTAGAGGTCAAATCTCTGATTATTACTATCAGACATTTATTAAGCCCTTGGAAGTTTATACTACTTTTTATTACATTACCTTAGATAAATTTTTTTCCCTTTCAAAGAGTTAAGCTTATTTTGGTGTAATCCCTGAAGCAACAATAATTAAATGTTCCAGTTCCACAAAGGGAATGATTTCTGTTATCAAAACTCTTTTTTTTTAATTGAACAGTATTTTTATGTTAGTGAAATTACAAAATGAAGTGAAAGATGCGGAGTGTAAAGTTTGATACCATTGAGCAAAGACTGCCACACCCAAGAAGCAAAAAATGAGCAAAACGAATGTCTATTTAGTAATCTAGAAGTTGATCATGTAGAAATGAATCTACATATGAATAGAATCTACTAATTCTATTCTACTAATAGAATCTACTTATGTAGAAATACATGCACTTCATAAAACACACAATGGCAATAAATGCAATTAATGTACTTGGCATCATTGCTTTTGGGGAAAATAAAGACACTTCAAAATAGGACTCGTTCTATAAGCTTTCTGAATGTTATTGATTCCAAGTAAAAATACCTTCACATGGATACACAATATTCCTATATTTTATGGACTTCCTCTGATTACTCACATTCTCATACAGGGCTTGCAGTGTCTCTAGGTCAACCACAGAGTTGTCCAAGTTCACAACAGCTATAAAAAAGAGAAAAGAAAAAAGAGTTGTTCAGGATGATAATCCAGCTGTGAAAGAAAGACTGGTCACAATACTCAGCAACAGTTTTTGTGACCTACTGGTCATACAGCTTAAGGGTTTTAACTTCATTAATGCCTTGAATAGTGCCGTATCTAGGAGTATAGCTAGAAACCTGGCAGAGCCAGGTGTCAAGTGTTAAAGAATTCATCTCCCTCCCCCCAAACACACAAACATGATCCCACGAGTATGGCCATAGTCAGAGATCAGAGATAAGCTTTACATCAGACTTTCATGGTCCAGCTGAAAGCATTATAAAAATTTGTAAATCTGCACCGCAGCCACACACACACACTCACACAACAAAGCTCATTCCTGTCGCTGGTTGACTTCAGTCTTAAACTCATTAATCCATAAGTCAGCCAGTTAACTTCAAAACACCTGACAAGGGTCAAGTCTTCTATGCACTAAGCCGACACATTTAGTATGGATACAAAATATGCCCTTCCTGTTCCCAACCAATTCTGGCGCCACACACGCTGTATTTTTTTCAGCATCAAAAAATACCAGAGAAACAGCTCAAAGAGAGTGACTTCTACCTACCTAACTCAATTAAAAAAAAAAAAAAAATCATTTAGAGGTACACATACTTAGAGATGGAACCCTGAATCCCCACTTGTTATAGAAACATTTTACAAGGTACAGGAAATATTTGTGCTAACTACTGAAAAATCCTTCTCACCTAATACATTTATTTTTCAAATAGTGCTTTTCAGTCTTCCTCTTACACATTTTTGCAAGCACAGTGACCCTTCATTTAAAAGCTATATAAATCCAATTTTCCTCATCCATATTTACATCTTGAAATTTAGAATATTGCACTAGAATATGTGATGGCAATGAAGAATTTTTATTATAATTGAATATTTTTTATTATACAATACCAGTCTTTTCCTACTTTGCATTTCATTAATTTGTACCCTTTTTCTGTAATGGGTTTTTTTTTTGTGTGTGTGTGTGTGTAAGGCGTGTGAGTGCACTTGTACAATAAGCTGAGTAATTCCCTAGGTGAGATTAATCTAGAAATTGCATCGTTGATCAGAGATAGAGACCCAGCACCAGGTTATGTTTTGTCCTATAAATCCATGTCCTTAACTGTCACAGAGAAATTCTGTATACACCTAAAGACTACAGAATATAATTCAAGCTCATGTGTTTCTGATTGCTCCAAAGCACCTAGAGATAGCACTCTGAGTCTGGGACTCATCATGTTTCCCCTTTCCAGGCCTGAGACATAGTTTTAATTGCAGTATAAGAACATTATAAACAAAAAAGTGTTGACCTTGACTAAACTAAGCAGGTCACAGTGTATCTCTAAGCAGGGCAAAAAGCTGACTTTTAGGACTCAACCAAAAATAATTTTAGAAGTCTTTATTTTTTCAGAAATAATGTGATTTTTCTACATTTCCCTTACCAGAAAGAAATGTAGCAGATAATGCCAATGGAACAGTTAACAGTTCAGGAAGCAACAGATTTTTCATTTTCTTTTGGGGTAGGGGGCGCATGCAAAAAGCTGCTTCTAATTATTTGGGGTATTTTTAAAATTCCCTCCCCCATCCAAGCGTAATTGTTGCAACAGAGACTTGAAGGTGCCCTCTACACAAGGCACGGTATATATACATAGTATTTAATAATCCCTGTTGCTCAAGATTATCTGCATGCTTAAAAATGTGCCAAATTTGCCTTGTAGAACTGGCCACTAAAATTAGCATGCAAATAGAAACTGGGTCTAGATAGGCTTGAGAGCTCTACTTTAAGGAAACACTAACATCCAAAGCCTATATACAAACAGATTTACTAAAGCCAGGATATATTATGAAACTTGGTTTATACTATCTAACATTTCAGCACTTTTATGCTTAGGCAATGTTTGCATATATGGACACACTCACAGCCCTTCAATTATTTACTTTGAATTGTGGCTGTCTTCTCCCTACTCCACCCCCCCTTCCTTCCAGAGACTGTCCGCTCCCGCGCTAAGAAATTTAACATAAAAAGTGCCCTGACTTTTGCTCAATGTTAAGATCACCCACGGATTACTCAGGGAGCAATAGAACACTTTTGTTTGAATGCTTGCAGGAGATAAGAGAACGCCTGGCAAACACAACGGTGCCATGTCTGTGTACTTTCAACAAAACAGGTATGCAGAAGAGTGTACATACTTCAGGGAGCTGCTTAAAACAAATCAGTCTGAGACAAGGACATGGAGAAGTTAGATCCTATGATATATCCTTCAAGACTCCTCTTCCAAGGAGAAGTATTTTTCTATGTGTTTCATCTAAACCTGTATATGTCCATAAGTAGCACTCCAACATCTCACTAGGATTTTTCCATGTTCACCTTAGGTGTGCTCCCCATACTCTGAGGAGTCAGGACATGAGCTTCTGTTCATAGGCAAACCTGCAGCATTGCCTTACAGCACATAATAGCTGGCAAAAGAAATCAGAACTATTGCATATTTAATTCCATTATCTAGACAATTTGAACTGAAAAAAACAATGATGTTTCCTTATGTAGCCAAGCTTACTAGTTAAACATGCCCCCTTACAATCAGCATGACGACACAAACATCTAACCAAAGGATTCCATATGTGGTGGCAACAGAATGATGAAACACAGACAAAGATCCATTTCCGCGTGTGAAAATATTTTTAGCCATGCAGCAGTTCCAGTATACTTTGATGCAAACAACTGGAGAAGCATTTCTATCAGTCTTACAGTCGCTGGATGTTTTCACCCATGTCACTGGTTTAGAAAGTGATTTTTTTCTTGTTTCAAAGCTGTCATTGAAATTTCCTGGCCTTGACTGCTATAGAAGTGAAGAATAACTATTGGCTTTTGCTCTAACTGAAAGAACTTTAATCACATCAGACCCAGGAATTTAGTTCTTACTGTCAGGATCTCACAGTTTTGTTATTTTCTTGCATTCCTATTGCTGCTGCTGCCAATGAAACCAGCTTCAGTTTCAAGCCCTAACACTGTAAAATTATTTGATGTATATATATAATTGTGTATATATACATATATATATAGCTAAGATTAAATCAAATTTGAACCAAGTACATCCAGATATGCACAAAAAACCCCCAAAATGGAATTACAAACCAACAAATTTTTTTTCTATTTAAGCAAGCCAGGGTCAACATATGACTACAAAAAAAACACCCAGTAAAATGAGGGGTTGGGGGTCAATCACAAATGATTTGTTGATACTATAAAGGACAGAGAAGAAGAAATTTCAAAGGACTTGTTGCCAGATTAAAGGGGTCAGGGAACTATTGCTGCTCCTCAGCTTTCCTGATATTGTCACTGTTTTGGTCACAATGTACATGGAAATCTGACCTGGTATCTTTGTGACAGAAATTATATCTAATGGCAGAATACAAACATTTTAGCAGAATGGAAGAGTTTCCTTTCAATTCTGTATTTCTGCAATATACATTGAGTAAAGATATATATATGCAAACTCACATTAGAAATGCCAATTTAGATATTAGATTTAAGCTAGAAAAAGAAAAATGCAAACAGAAAGAAAAATATTTAATATTCTTATTAATATCAATTGATTTGCAAGTGTATAAGTTACAACCCCTGACAGGAGGATATGTTGCTGGTAAAAAGTGAGTTTAGGGCACATGATAGTATTCAGAAGCATTTTTGAACTGAAAACAGATAGATCTTCTTCCATATACACAGAAGGCAAGTTAGAATAGAGACAATTAAAAAAAAACCCAAAAAACCCACCAAAAATAATCCCAACGATAAAGCAAAATACAAAAAATAAACCAAATAAACTACCACCACCCTCAAGTCTTCAGGGCAAGACAGTAATCAAGCCAACAACAAGATCAAACTTTTTGCCAGCAAATGTAATCCTGAAGAGGAAATGTATGAGAAAACACCATCAGCAGGAAGCTGTAGGATGCCCAGTGTAATGTCAGGAAGATTGTAAAATGAAGTTGCTGGACTTTTTCCTTTGTTAGACAGATCACTGCTGTGGATATTAATTTATCTAGGAGCACATGAACTACCAGCTGCCACTAAACCAAAGCCGACAGGCAACGCAGACACAGCTAATCTACATTTCCCTGCGGCTATGAATTTAAATCCACCAATACTACCACTTACATACAGCTACCCAGTCCTTGGAAACCCAATTTTGTTTCCAAGTCCAAAACTTTGGAATTTCCTTTTAAAATGAAAAGGCCAAAATTCAGTTTCCCACTGAGTAGAATTTCAGAATGAAAAAAAGTGTTATAAACCAGACCCTTTGGATCCAACTTTTGTGTCATAAAACTCTCATTAGCACAATCACATATGGATGACTTTCAGAAAACTGGTATTCAGCTGAATTCTTAGTCTTAGCCTTCCCTTTTCTCAGGGCAGGTTTCAAATCACACTCCATTTCTCTGGCCTTTCCAAGTATACTTCCTAAGCTTTTCTGTCTCTGGACTCCATCTAAAATTTAGTGTCTCCTTGAAACCTCCTGGAAGCACTGCTGTCTCCTAAAAAACTGACTCAGCATTTTCCAAATCCTACTTGACTGATAACAGATTAGAGTTTAAATCCTCATAAAGTAGCAGTAGCTGGATTAAAACCACATCTGAACCTGTACTGCCCTGCTCAGATCCATCCTTCAGGGAGACACACATGCAAACCACCCATCCAAGCCCTTCCTGCTGATTTCCACTTCAACTGACTTCTCCGTGACTCTCCAAAAACCAAGCAGTATTGCTTCAAGAGACCACTCCTTTTTTCCTCCTGCACATCTTTGCCTCCTCACTTGCACATCTGCTCTCTTTCTCCAGAAGAGCACCAGGAGCTTCTGCAAGGCTTCACAACTGCTCTGACAAATGGCAGACACAGATGGTCAGTACAGCAATGTACAAAGGCAGATCTATTCTTCTTTGCTGAGTGAAGGACCTCCTGTTTCTGCAGCAAC